CCGCGTGTTTTCCTGTTTCCATGACCGTCATCAACCTTTCAGACTGCAGTAAAATTAGGCTACTGTACAGGGCTAGACAATGATCAGAACAAGAACAGCCAAGTTGCACATATACCAAATTCAAGCAGACCTTTGACCCTGCCTGTTGATCGACTTAGAAATTCCATTTTACCAACATGCTACATTTAGACAGGTCGTTTTAAGCCAGAGGGGTCTCCCACCACATATCCTGCCCATGAAACTTTTAAGTACATCTTGGGTTTGCAAAAACTCTTCACGAAAGTTGGGAAAGCAGTGCGTATCTGAAGAAAGGCTCCTTATGGAATCTGGCATCCCAAGATATTTGATCTTGGGCAAGTTACCATCTTTCACTGAACATTCCTGTCCACGTCTATAAAATGAGAATAGTAACAGCTAACCTTCCATGATAGCTTGTGAGTGCTCAATAAAGTAGGAATAAAAAGTGCTTTGCTTAGTAAATGGTGATTGGTTGAAGTATTAGAATATTTTTATGAAAATAGTTTTTAAGTTTTAGGAGAAAAGTCTACTCTCTCCTTATCCTCCATCTAGTCACCTTCCCTGCCTCTGGCAAAAAAAAAAAAAGGTTATATTAAAGGCAAAACTAATAGATCTCCTACGTATGGGTGGATTTATACTTACTCTTGGGTTCTGTGTCAGCATCTCTTATTTAAGACCCTAGATGATCATCCCCTCAAAAAAGGGAAATTCTCAATAATAAATAAGTAAACCTAGTCCTCCACTGAGAGCAGCAAATTCCCTGCAAGAAACATTTCCATGAGTTCTAATAAAAAATGCATACTGCTCTTTTTTTCCACCCCGTCCCCGCGAGAATGTTTATCATCTTTAAAGCAAAGTTGCTGTGAATTGCTGTGCCCATTCTACCACTAAGCCATGGAGGACACTCTAAAACCACTTGTCACAGGGGTACACCACAGGTTTTGTTTTTTTTTAAATGTAGCATACATTATTATTATTTTTTTTAAAGATTTTTTTATTGGGTAATTGGGGGGATGGGAACAGTACTGGGGAATTAGGGGAAGGGGAACAGACAAGTTGCTGTCGTTTTGTTCTTCAATCTAGTTGTGGAGGACACTGCTTCACTGGCCCAAGTTGGCACCATCATTGCGCTCTTCCCTGG